CACACACACACACACACACACACACACACACACACACACACACACACACAAAACAATAAAAAACATTTAAAAATGGATAAAGAAAACTGAGCGCCAGCCTTCCTTTCTCTGCTGGCTGACTGCAGATACACTGTAACGCATTGCTGCCAAGACTGACCAAACCTTCTTGAACTGTAAGTTGAAACATGTTTTATGTTGCTTCTTATCATGTATTTCAACACAGAAGTGGTGAAAAAACAATGAATACACACAGAATCAACACAAATGATTAGAAATAAAACAGTATACTCTTGAAAGAACAGTGGGTCATTGAAGAACCAGTGAAGACATTCTAAAAATCCTAAGAGCATAGAAAATAATAGACAAAACTTGCTCAGGTGTCTGAGATGTGGCTTAGGCATTTCTAAGAGAAAACTTACCAATTGTAAATGTTCTCGTTAAAAAGTCAGAAAGGAATGAAGCAAATAGTCTAAGGATGTGCTCCATGGTCTCAGAAAAACCATAATAAGCCAACTACAAATACAGCAGACAGCAAGAAATATTAACTATTGGGGGAAATTTTAATGAAATAGAAACCAAATGAACAATGCATAAAATCAAAGAGTTAACTATTTGAAAAGATAAATGAATCTGACAAACTCCTAGGAGAACTAGTCACAAGGTAAGAAAGAGGCTCCCTGAGGAGGGGGCCAGCCTTACCAGGCCACAGAGGAAGACAATGCAGCCAGTCCTGATGAGACCTGATAGGCGAGGGTTAGATGGAAGAGGAAGTCCATCTATCAGTGGACTGGGAGAGGGACAAGGGAGGACCAACAGCCTGATATAACCCCAAGTTGTCAGCCCCGAACACACATACACATGAGCAACAGTCATCAAGTTTCATTTCTAAATTTGCACACACATTGTGAATTTAAAGATTGGAAAGAAAGGGAATCATGGAAATACAGTACCCACATATGTAATTCACAACGAATAAATTAAAATTAAGGAATATGTACAAACATTCTGCTGTTTCACAAATAGAAAGAGAACGAACACAAACTGTTTTTTTTTTTTTTTTCAAATACAGTACTATGATCAAAGCAAAGCTTGGTAAAGGAGCAACAAAAAGATAACACCTATATTTCAATTTTCCTGATAAACACAGATGAAGAGCTTCAGAAGTAAACACCTGGGAATTTAACTCAGAAACACATTATGATTATATGGTACCAACATGCTGGGTTCACCCCAGAGATGCAAGCCTGGCTCAGCCTATGACTATGCGTCAGTGTAGCACAATGCATAAGTAGACTTAAGGGCAGAAATCAAATAGACTCGATAGATACAGAAAGACATTTGATGAAACTCAACATACCTTTGTGATAAAAGCTCTAAAGAAATTAAGTGTTGTTGAAATGCCCTGCAGTATTGTAAAGGCTACATATTACTTATGCTAGAACCACAACCAACATTATATTAAATGGAAAACACTGAGAGGCGTTCTGCAACATGGAAGAAGACAGTCATGAAAAGAGATGTAACTGAAGATGCATTTCTACAACCCGATAACCACTTTCAGCTAAGTAGGATACAAAATCATTATAGAATAATAACTTTTCCACAGATCAATAATGCATTTTTCGACAAAAGAGTTAGGATGGATACCTCATTAATAATGAATTAACAACAAACAGGCAAACCAAAACAAATCAAACAAACAGGCAAACAAAAAAAAATCAAGAAGTTGAGAATTATTCTCAATTTTAGCTTAGCGAGGACGGTGGCATGCATTTGGTCCCTAGAACCTAAATAAGAAAATAAAAGAACAAAGTAAATATATGAATAAATAAGCAGATATGAAAAGCAAGGCATCCATGAATAAACCTACCAATGGATGATGACTAAAATGAGCTACCTGAAGCACTGCATGAAGCACTTGAAGGGGTTACTAGATGACTGAAGCACCTCCAGTACCCATGGTCAGGCAGGCTATGGTGAAAACTGCTACAGTACAGAAAGCAATCCACAGAGTCAATGTAATCTCCAGCAACATTCTCCACAGAAGTATAAAGAAATCCTCAAATTCATAAAGACAAAATGCTTCAAGTAGACAAAGCAATCCTAAGTAGAAAGCAATGCTGGAACTGTCATACACACCGATTTCAAGCTCTATTGAAGTCATGGTGAAGACAAGGTGCTGGCACAAAAACAGACCTGCAGACCAATGGTGAAGAACAGGGGGCATAGCCATAAATCAGCACAACTATGGCCACCTGACTCTTGGCAAAGGTGTCGAAAGTACGCCGAAGAAAGGAGAGCCTCTTCAACAAATGCTGCTGGGAAATGGATATTTGTATAAAAATTAGATCCATATATCTCATCCTGTCCAAAATTTTACAGTTGGTAAAACAGCTTAGCCCAAGACCCCTAACTCCAGAATTTCTAGAGGAAAAGAAGGTAAGCATTTCATGATATAAGCACAAACTATGGCTTCCTAAAAAGAACCCCAGTGGCACAGAGAGTACCTCAAAAACTGATAAAGAGAACTATATGGAATCGAAATCTTCTGTACAGCAAAGGAAAGAAGCACCAAAATAAGAGATAGAATGGGAGAAAATCTCTCTCAATTATACATTTGACAGGGGATATATATATATATATATATATATATAATATTATCATATATATGTATATGTATACACGCATACTCACAATTCAGCAAAAATCGAATACTAACAAAACACATCCTCCAGTTCTCAAAAGAAGAAATACAAATGACCAATAGATATTTTTTAAAAAATATTCAATATCGTTAGTCACAAGGCAGATGCAGATGAAAACTACCTTGATATTCTATCTTACTCCATAAAAATTTTTATCAGCAAGAAAACAAGCTGCAAATGTTAGCAAGGATGTATGAAAACAGTAACTCTCTTTCTCTACGGATAGGAATGCAAACTGGTGCCGCAGGTATAGAAATTGGTATGGATATTCCTCAAATATCTAAGAATAGAGATAGCACAAGACACCACTATGACTTTCCTGAGCATATGCATAGAGGCCTGTCCATCCTATCACATACTGTCATTTCCACTTTTATTTCTCAGGTTTAAACTGTGAAGCGTTTCTTCTTTCTTTCTCATTTTCCTTGAGGTTTGATTTATTTGTTTTGAAATTTGTTACTTGCTCACTTCAGAAGACGAGTCTGCTGGAATTGGTGCCATTAAGCGGATGAATGGTCCTGGTGCTTTGGAGAGTAGGATAAGGTTTGACTTGGAGAAAACAGAATCAGTGAAGAGGTCAGAACCAGAGAACCCTGAACAAGATCCCCTCTGTCACACTCCCCGTGTGTGGCCATGGGCTGAAGTGGAAGGCAAAATGCTAATCCTCCCTTCAGAGCTGGTGTCTAGTGTCTCACTAAGGATTACTCCCACAACCTTCTTGGAACTTCATTGCAAAATGGCTCTTTGTCTCCATGAAAGCCAAATAATCTTCAATCATACCTCCTTATGAGTCAAATATTTTTTCTTGATCAATTACTTTATGCATTCAGGAAGGTTAGAATAAAATGTTCTGAACAGGAATGGAGTTTATGAATTTAAATCATTTGCACGAGATTCTGAAGTCTGTGAGGATCAGACGGTTAAAAGAAGAGCCAACTAAAGGTATAACTTACAAGTTTAATATTTTAGAGAAAACTAACTCATGCCTTTGCAGACTATGATAATTTAAAAACTAAGGTCCTCATTCTAAGTCACAAGCAGAGGAAAATTCTGACTCAGATAAAAGCTTTGATTTTTAGTTGTATAAGTGTGTGGTTTTATATAACTTTTATGAAATATTTGTGTATTTAATATTAACCTTTATTTTAGTACCTCCTCTTGGAAACAATGTTAAAAATCTTTTATATCATGATTATCCCTGGTTACATAAACTTATTGGAAAAACATATTGGTCATCAAGTATTGCACCTGGGTTAATTCAATCCTTAACTGCAAAGATTTGACAATAATTATGATCAAATATCCAATTTATGTATTGAACAACAACATAATTTTTCACATAGTACAGCAGGACAATGCAGATGCGATTATGAACGTCTCAGAAATATTTTGCTTAAAAATTACATAATTCGACCTTCACACTGGGAGACATACAATCACATTGTTTTGATTAAAAAAAAGATCTTCATGAAGACACGGTACAATCGGGCATAAAGGACTGTAAGTGCATAATTGTTGAACAACTTACACAGACATGAGTACAATAGTAAAAACGCAGTTCATGAAAAACCTAGATTTTCTAACTCCCAAGCCTATAAAGAAAATTAAAAAATAATAGAAATACGTGGCAAGCTGGGGGAAGTTTTTTGTCCCCCTTTTCCAAAGCAGAAGAGTGTAGAAAAATCTTTGAAATTTGAGAACTAACAGTGCTTTTCATGTTGTTATCTTTTGTGTAGGAAGTAAGAGAATAGATTGTAAATTCATACTCTCCTACTTATATAAGGACCCTAAAAGTCCCATTATTTCGCTTCAAACAATGTGAAAACTATTTGAAAATAATCAAATGGAGCTTTTGCTTTAGCTTGTGATATGAACAGAAGCAGAAGGGTATCTGATGAAGGTTCCATTGAAAAGGTTTCTAATTGGAAGGACTAGCCATGTTTTTTGAAATGCAGTTGATCCCTGTTTTGATTCACAGCTAATGCAAACCTGGTATTTTTACTTTGTATCAAAGTGCTAATAGCCCTCATTTCAGGTATGATTAATAACATCTCTAGACACATTCAGATTGTCACTTATAAGCGCATTTGCTCATTCTTCCTGAATCAATGTACACTAGGGTGAAATTGGATATAATTGGATATTACTGTGCCTAATACTTTGACACTAAACTTATCAATAGTTTATAGCTACTTAGTTATTCCACACTGTGGAAAAGTTAGCTGTCATGTTGTTGCTGTTTATCCCTCACAAACTTGGGTTACTATTTAGCCCCAAGCTGCTATCAGGCTGTAACGTGAATAAACAAATAAGTTAATGAGTAAAAAAATAAGTAACGGTTTCTGACACCTGCACAAGTACCAAATTAATTTGACATAAAATATTTAGCCCCAAATGAATGAACTCAAAATATCAAGGTTTTTATGATATTATAAAAATTCACAAATTATTAATCTGAAATATATTTGGTAAAATCATTACACCACCCTTACTAGTGACAAAACCAACGACATTGACATCTCACAATTAAAGGTTTGAAATACAGAGAAGTAAAGGCAGATAGATGTCCAGTGTCCAGCGTAACTCAGCTCCAGAACAAACTTTTCCTCTAAGCTCTTCTCATCTGTGTCATCAGCACACAATGAGGTGAGTCGTTAAGCACCCCAATAACATTGCTATGTTTCGGGGCCTCGTGGTCTTTTTTTTTTTTTTTTTTACCATTTGTCCTATAAAGTTCACCATAAATCGCTCAAGATCCGTGGGCCCTAATGTTGAGAAATATATAGACACTTCATGATTCCTTCCCCGAGTTTCACTTATGTATCCATTTTATGCATCGGTTTTCTTCCAGGTAATAGCTGTTCTTGGAAATGAACTGCTTCCACGAAACAGAAACTTCAGTAAATAAAAATCAGTGACATTGGTAAGTTTTAATAAAAACACAAGTCATCCAGGTCACTCATGAAGCACATAAGTGCCTTAAAATCCATCTTCTTTAACATCACACTAAGAACACAGTGGCACTTGTTTTGTAAACCATTATCTCTTTGAGACGACAAGGGTGAGATTCCACACGGATGCTCAGCCTCTTCTCTCAGACCTCCAGCCAGGTGGACAGGAGTGCAGATGGCACTCCCTGCTGTAGGTACCTGTGCAGTAAAAGACTTTATTTCACATGGGCTAAGAAGTTGAGGCCAGGAGACACCATTTAGAGCAGTGGCTCTCATAGCTAAAGTGCTTTATTATCACCCACAGGATTTCTATCATGCCTACATTCCTGGGTACCAAACCCAAAGGATTCAGGTTTGGTAAGTTTGGGACACATGTTTAATCTTGGTTGCTGGGAGATACAGGTGTTGCTGATTCAGCGACCACACTGCACTGAGAATCACTAATTAAGAACAAAGAAATTCTGGCTTTTGATCCGCCATACCAAGACCACTTCTTCTCTCCTCTCCATCCTCTCCTGTCCTCTCCTCTCTTCTTCTTTCCTCTTTTCTCCCCATTTCTCTTTCCATCTTGTTCCACCCTGTCCCCTCTAAAGGCCTCTGCTCTCATTTATATAACAAGAACTGGCATCTTAGGACCTAATACTGTCTCACAGCTTAGAGCTAAAACAGTTCAGTTATATTGGACAGAATTACTATATCATCTTTATCGAGCTGCAAGGCTAGTAAGGCTTATTACCAGGAAGATTTGAAGTTATCTTCCAATCTTAAAGTGCTAACTGTCACCAAATCACAGCTCTCCTTGTATGTAGTGTGTGGTAGACAAAGCTCTCAAAGGGGAGAAGGGAGACATTGAAAGCGATTATGTTCATAGATAAAGAGAATCATGATGTTCAGCCATGTAATTTTGATAAACCTCCCATAAGAGGGCAGTCCTGGCTTACAGTATTGAAAGGCACGTGCTAACAAAATCCCAAACTCTTGAAAAGAAAGTGTGGCTAATTGGATTGTGTTATTTTTCTCTGAGAATAAAGAGTTGGGCAAAATGACAATCTATGTATTTTCAAATAAAATCTCTCTTAAATATTAAAAATAACCCGTTCCTATATAATCAGAGCGCCTACCTACTGCTACACTACGAGATGAAGAAAAACTTGATATGTACACTTTCGAACTTTTACTTTAACTTAGAAGTGAATACTTCCATGAGAAGAATTTTGCAGAGAACAGATTTGAAATACTATTTCAGCCCCAAGATTTACACTTTTAGGAAATACACTCTATAATTTCCGTTTGTGCATGAGTTAGTAGCAAGCCTTCCATTTTGCCACCTTGCCGCCTCCTAGCCTCAGGCGTGCTAAAATTGCTCACACAGAGAGTGTAATGTAATTAAGTGGGGGAGGGGTGGGGTTGTAACCGTGCTGCCAGAGTGATGGTGGGGATCACTGTCTTTGTTTGTGGGACTCCTTTGCCATGCCCGGGAATCCTCAACCTCTCTCCCTCACTGCACTACAATTTATTTGTTATTGTTTACAGTGATGGCACTGAACCAGAGCCTGGTACAAGCTGCTAGGGAAGTGCCTAGCCATTAAGCCCTAACTCAGATTTAGACTTCAGCCACCTTCCCTCACTTCCTGCTGCCTCGCACACAGGGGCATTCTTAATCCAGCAAAGCTGACTAACTCGTTGTCCCAAATTAGAAAAATACAACAATTCGATTTTTAATTTCTTAATTTCAATCTTAAATCCTTCCTCAGGGATGAAAATGATTACGTATTAGTAGTTGCTGCAAAATTTGTACTTTAATACAGTCATTTTAATTCTGTATTGCACAAAAACTTAGATATTGTAAAGTTATAAACCTGAGACCATTTAGCAAATAGAAAATAAAATTAGTGGCAAATTAATCTTAATTGTATATATTCCATGTGATTTGGAAAGACATGTTCAATATATACAAGTTATATGCTTTTCTATTAAATAAAGATTCTCCCAGGTAGTGTTAGTGATTGTTACTTCTTTTATATACCAAAAGAAAATGATTAACTTTTGGTGATTTTTTAGCAACCAATTTGAATTGTGAAATTAAAATAACAAGGGGTTATAAGAAGAATTAGAAATCCTCAAACCCTAAGTTGCCACAAACTTCAGTTCACAGAACTAAGAAGAAATAGCTTGAAAAAAAAATTCAGCTGAAGTTTAAACTGATAACATGTTCGAGTAAATAGTTCAGGAAGTATTTCATTTTTTTTTTAATTCCAAAGAGTGACCCAATTAAAAAAAATGGATTGACAAGTGACTTTGTGTTTAGATAGATTGGATACTAAAACTTCTGTTCACAGAGTTTGTATAAAAGAATAGTTTGAGTCGGGTATCCTTTTCCTAGCAATAAATATTCTACCAGTTTTGAAGCGGTCCTGCCCCGTTGGCTGCTGGGAGTGTGCTTATGCTGGTGAGCACCACGTGCTCTGAGAGTTTTGATACGTTATCAAAGTTGCTGATCTGCGTGGTCAGGGACTTCCTGCTCTCTGTGCTGGTGCGTCCCCTTGCGAGGCGATCTCCTTGGCGATGATGAACCCCAAGACAACAAGAAAAGGCAGCTTTAAATTCCTCTCGAAATTTTCCTGGCAGACCAGAGAGAATAAGAGCAAAGGGGATTATGCATAAACAGCTGGACACCTAATGCACAGTCATTCCCTTGAGCCAACCTAACAGTGAGGTGGAGCGGTTTTTGCATCAGTAAAGGAAATATAGAAAGGAAATTAAACGAGGAAGTATCTTCATATGTAATACTTGGCGTTCGTTTTCTTTATTTAAAGTCAAAATCCTTGTGTTTCTCAAGCCAGTTTTTAACCCTGTGTTAATACTGAATGGCTCTTAGGAAAAGTTTGCATAGACTTCGAATCGCATCATTAGCAATGAAATCTATACTGTGTATAAGCAAGAAAACAGAGATGTATTGTATTCTAAAGATGCTGGTCCCGAAAGAGTTCAACAAAGCAAGAAAAACAAACGAAAAAAAAACCCACTGAAATTTTTGAAAAAGTCCCCTTTCACAACCCAAGTGTGGCAAAATAGGAAAAGAAAGAAACTGGAAAAAAAAATGTTAGGAAGTACTTATCTTTAAACTATTAATGAGAGTTTTAGGCGGTTAAGAAAGTGAAATGATTGTTAGAGCGAAGGGTATTATGAGTAACGATTCTTCCTTCTTTCTGTCTTAAGGCTAGTCTGTGCCCTCAGCTGCTGAAGTGATTGCTCGCTGGGCTAGGACAAGGGCAGGCGCACACTCCTCTTAACCTCATCCCAGGACCCTGCCTTGGTCTACTACTTCAAACACCTGTCTCTGCATCTCTTTAAGGGTTTCACCAACTTGGTGCAAGGTCAGAGCACTACAGTGTGATATGACTATTTTAAAAGTGGCAAAATTACTTTTCATAAATAAAATTGGTTGTGCTCTCCTTTTACTGATCAAAACTTGTTAATACATAATTATTATTATAAAAATTATATTTCTGGATTGCCATGTGATATTGCAGTAGATGTAAGCAGTTTTCAAGGCTTGTACAGAATTAAATATATGCAAACATCTGTTATGTAGTTACGGTAAAAACATTTAAAATCTTTTTTGTTGTTGTTATTTTTTAACTTTTTGAGATACATAATAGATCCTTCTGTTTCTAGAAAGGCTATCTTATCTAGCCGTTCCAAGTACTTAAACAAATCAAGCAAGCAAAAAGCCAACATGGAATTGGAAGACACACACTATTTATTAAATGTAGAATAAAAAGGGTTTTCTCACATATAAAAAGTGACTTATGGTTAGAAATGGAAGTAAAAAACAAATAGCCAAGCATTTGGGAACAAAATAGTCGAAGCTGTGGCTATTCACAGCACAGTTCTGCTGTGGCCACTTGTAGGTCTCCCAGATGCCAGCGGGTGACTCACACCCACGCACTCACTCACGGGCAGTTTTAATTGGATTTCGGGAGTCATTAAAACAAACATGAAATTAGTAGGGGTATGTTTGTCAAATCATGAGAAGAAATTGAAGGGAAGCAATGGGGGGGAGAGGAGATCATATCTTGTGTGTGTGTGCTTCAATCATAAGTTTGATGTAAACCGTGTAAGATGCTCAAAAGGAAGAAATTCTAGACGAATCTAGTCAGGGGCAAGCATAGCTCAGACAGAAGCTAAGTTCTGTATGTATTTCAAAACTGCTCCAGGGCATTTGTTCTAGGTGCTCTGCCCTTGAGTAGAGGATTGACAGAGAAACATTGAAAACTTACCACTAAGAAAATTATAAATGATTGGGTTCGCAGCACTATTAGCATAGACAAGCCAATGAGAAAATGTGAACCAAGCATAGACAGTCTCTCTGTCTTCAGTGTGCGTGAACATCCCAAATACTCTGTGGAAAAAGAAACAGACAGAAAATCAAGAGAGTCCTAAATAATCGAATCCCGGGGTGAACAAACATCACAGAACTAGCCTGACTCTCTTCTCTGCAATAACACTGAAAGCACAGCCTCCTTAGAAGGGTTTCAGGTATCCATCAGAAGCTCCAGATAGAGAAAGTGGCACCATATCTTGCAACCAGCGATTGCAAATCTCTTCTAACCTTCTGTTAGTATTCCACCACGTGCATGTTTCTATTTATTTGTCTGTGTGTGTGTGTTTATATGCCTACAGAGGTAAGAACAGCGTGCTGGATCTCCTTTAACTGGAGTTATAGATGATGCTGAGCAGCCATGTGGGTGCTGGGGATTGAACCCAGGTCCTCTGGAAGAGCAGCCTGTGCTCTTAATCACTGAACCATCTCTCCAGCCCCATTGTACATAATTTAATTAGCAATCCAAAATCGCGCTGCCAAATCCTTTCCACTTTTGCTTGTGCACGAATCAGTTGACTGTGTTTCCTCAACTCCAAAGCTCTCAACCTTGTTGAAATTTGCCACGAGACATCTCTGCATGCAGGCAACTGGTTTTCAGTAGCTAAGATTTTGATATTCCTTGGGACACATGAGTTTCAGGTTTTCGTATATTATGTTAAAATAAAAATAGACGTATTATAGTACCCTCAAATGTAATTTTCAAGCATTTTAACTTTTTTTTTTTAAACCAGGCTGTGGGTGTCAGGCACAGCACATGTGTGAAGGGCAGAGGGAAACTTCGGAGAATTGGTTTTCTCTTTCCTCCAGGTGGATCTCAGAGATTGAACTGAGTCCCGTGGGCTTCGTAACAGGTGACTTTACCCTCTGAGCTATCTTGCTAACCTCCTCAGATACATCTTAAATTTTGCGTTCTTTGGTATGAGGAGACTAGACAGTGAGTAAAAGCATGTTTTGTGAAGACTGGATGACCTGAGGTCAGATTCCTGAACATACATAAAGATGCTGATACACAACGGCGATAAAAATTTTCTGGGACAAAGTGATGTCCTATGGCATAGTAAAAGTTCACAAGTGAACACATATACAGTAAAAGAATGAAGAAAATTAAATATACAGGAAGATACAGCTGCTGGTTCAAAACCTCTGAAATACTAGGCTAGTAAAAATCACTTAGAGGAAGTTAGTTTTAACCAACCAGGCAATAGCTTATGTTCCAGGAAAACCAAGGTAGGAGCTAACAGTATGTGAGCAATAAATGAGTGTGAGGTTGATATACGAGGCAAGGCTAAATTTAAATTATATATATATATATATATATATATATATATATATATATATATATATATATACACCCTGCACGCAATAAGAACAATTTTCAAAATTATTTCAAAATGTTTATGTGTGTACAAACAGGCAGATTGCTCAAATAACTGAAAAAAAAAAAGCTTTAAGTTAAACTTAGATTCCCCCTCCCAAAGGAAGCTTTTTAAATTCAGTATAATGAGATGAATATTGTTGACAAGAGGGCATCTGCAAATAATTAGAGGGAGAAATACAAGAGCAGAGATATGAGAAATTCAAATGTGCATGTCACAGAGTGCTAAATCCATTAAAACAATACTTAATTTAGACTGGTAAACAAAGGAGGAGGAATAGGAAAAAGCAGGAGGAGGAGGAGGGGAAGAGGTTGGGGAGAGAGACAAGTGGGGAGAGGAGGAGTGAGAGGGAAAGGGGAGGACAAAGAAGAAGAGGGGAAAGAGTGGAAGGAAGAGAGGAGGGAGGAAGCTATTTACTATTATTCATAGTTGTGATGATCTTAATAGCAAAAACCCGGAAACGCGTGAAGCACTTAATACATTTGTATGTGATTTCTGTGAGGTATAAAATGAGAAACGAGCCTTGATAGAAGCAGAGTGTAAATTATGTCTTGTGAGTGGACACATAACTCAAGAAGAGGAGGGTTCAAAACCATTAGTCATTCAAGGCTATAATGAACAAAAGCTCGTTTTCTACTTCATCACTGCAAAAGCCTTTAAACAGTGAAAAGCCAAAAGCAGAAGGGAAGTCTTTGCAGCTGGTTAGACCACCTTTTGTCTGACTCTAGCCAAACCCACCTGTCTGTAAGGTCCCCAGCTGTGACTCTGACTTTGGGAAAAGGCGCAGGAGCAATTCCAGGCAAGCTCGAAGTCTGTTATAAACAGAATTAAGGTTGCCTTGGGACCAGCGTGTGTGCAAAAGCTTTGATATTTTCCCATAAAGCTGGCTGTTCGTGTCCTGAGTGTGCTGGCATTTCAGCGTCTGCTGCTCATGTCACTGATCAAAATTATTAGAGCCTCATAGTTTTTCTCTAAAAAGTATAGCAAGTTGTGCACGGGTGCTCACTGGAAAAAAATATGCTGTTATATTAATATTGATATGAAATTATTCCAGTGATTTCAAGAAATGGATATTTTCCTATCTGTTTAAAATTCAACACAAAATACCTGTTTCTCTGCTTCTTTGTTTTTTGGCCCCAATTATTCCTACCTCTTTTTTATCCTGAAAAAGAAAGGATTGTGGTGTGGCTGTTTATATATTTAAGAACAAGGTTGGGAAACACATTTATTCTCATCCAAAAAATCTTAGAACTGTAGTTGACTTTTTTTTTATTTATGAAATTAGTTACTGAAACTCAATTTTTAGTTAGAATATATCCTTTATTTAGAGTTTAGCAGTCACTCTCAAGAGGTTAGGAAAACAAAAACAAAAACAAAAACCCAACAACACCAAAAAACCTTTTGTTTGCCATTCAACTGACTGAGAATGTGTTTCCTGGTGTTGCCTTAAGTGCTCAAACAACTTATGTCGCAGAGTTGATTGGACAAAGTATCTAGGCAAGAACGGGTTCTGTCTGTTTAGAAAGAAAAAAAAGAGTTCTTAATTAAAATGTCAAGGTGCTTCATTTTCAAATAAACGCACGAGGTTTACCTCTTTAGCACATTGAGGATGCTGATTGGTAGATAGCAGATGGCGAAGACCAGAAGAACGACCATGAGCATCCGGGCTGTTTTCCTCCGCGCCCGGATCTGCTTTATCTCAGCGGCCACAGCGCTAATCCGGGCCTTGTTTTGCTGTCCAGACCCTCGGGGCTGAGAAACCGGCTGCGGCTGCTTCCATTTTCTCTGAACCACAGAAGAAGTTCCCGGAATCTGGAAGGAGAGGGGAATCCCTCATTGGTACTTTGCAAACTTCCACAGGACGGTGCAGCCACCAGCAAAGATTAAGGAATGGACATTTGGAGGTTTGGAATTCCCTCTTCTCCAGAGCTCTTAGCTCGGCTGAGTACGTTCTTAGCATTCATTTAGTCAAACATCAAATAGGTATTTGGGTGGGGGAAAAGTTAAAAACAAGCTTTTGTTGTTGCTGCTGTGTTAAAACATAAGAATCTTGTCAAGGTCTAAAGAAAACAATAGAGAAATTATGCCCTTACTAAAAAGAGAAATTAAATGTGGGAAAAAAAATGCTAAAATGTTTTTCTACTATAAAATTTCATTATAAATTCTAGATTCAGGTATCACCTAAGTTTAAACATTCATCAAGTAACAGGACACACACACACACACACACACACACACACACACACACACACCCAAAAGAAACAAAAAACTTAAATGAATTTTTGATGCATCGATACTGCCATCTGCTGTCGCACAGGGACATAGCACTCAATTGGTTTTTGTGAAGTTTTCTGCCTGCTGTTCAGACAAAGCAAATCTGTGTATAGAAGGAAGAAAAACTATTCTCTGTGATTTACTGTTCGCATTTACAAAATTGCCGGAAACTAATTTTGCAATTTGTCCTTCTAGAAAGCACACAAATACACTTCCAGGTTTTACACTACTATTTCAAATAGCTACGATTTGCAGCAATTACATTACCCAGCATGCTTTTTCTTTGTTTTTTTTTTTTTTTCAGTTAGTTGCTAATAGCAGAAAATTCTGCCAAGTATAATATTTTCTTAATTATAATCTCATGAAAATTGATAGACATTAGCAAAACATTAAAATTCAGCATGTGCTTTTTTTTTTTTTTAGATGAAGATGTACCAATAAATACACTACGGGGACAGCTTGATTCTGTTACAATTACTCAGCTGTCACTTTTGTCTTCACGCTGCACAATGTGCAGAGCAGTGCGTTCCCTTGGCCTCTCGGAATAAAGGTCACATGGAACCCGTGGCTGTTTACACTACAAGATCAAAGTCTATTAGAGAACCTTCCATTTGAGACTTCAGCTTTGCTTTCATGTCCAAGCAGATGAGTCTCGTTACGCGAGACTTCACTTGGCTGTCCTCTCAGGTCAGGAGATCAGTGATGCAAATGAAAACCTGCGGGAGCTCCTCAGGGGTGGGCAGGGCCATCTCTCCAAACCACTGGCTGCGGAGACAAAGACTTAAAAAGTCTCCCTCTTCTGTGATCCTGTTTTATTTTAGGTGTATGAGGGTTGTTTTTTTCTCTCTTGCATATCTGTGCACAATATGTGTGCCTGTATAGAAAAAGGTTTTGGATTCCCTGGAAGCAGGGTTGGATGCTTGTGAGCTGCCATGCAAGTGAAATTGGAATCGATCCTACGTCTTCTGCAGGAGTAGCCGGTGCTCTTGATTGCTGAGGATCTCTCCTGTGTTGTGCTCTCTTTTTAAAAAGCAGTTTTAGAAACAACTTTTTTTTAAAAGTAGCAGCAGATCTTAGAAAGTTCCAGAAGAATTCTGTCACCAAAGCTGGTAAGTATCTGCTAAGTGGTCTTGAAGTGATTTCTAAATGAAACCGTAAAGATCATTCTATTTCTGAATGTTCCCTTGAAGGGAGAATCAAGATTCTGCCCAAAGCCTTCTTTAGGTAATCAAAAACACTCCCATGAAGAGAAAGTACCACTGGGGGCAGAGTTGTGGCCCTTGCAATGGAAAGAAAGAGAAATGTGCTGATAGCACTTTCAAATAACGACCTGAAGGCAGAAGGTGTTCAATGACTGCACAGAGAAAGCGAGCAGTCCCAAAGAGACTTCAGGGAATTTATTAGGAGCCATCCCAGCAACTGACATTCAAGAATGGGAAATAACCCTAAGTCATGTTCACTGTGTCCTCAGAGGTAAACTATAAATCTCATCTTATGGATTCCATTGAGATAATACTCAGCAGAATAAAGCAAAATAGTTTAGGGTATATATTTAATTTGTACAGAACTTCAAAACACATCCTTTTTTTAATTGTGGAAAATAACCCTTTTACAAATTTACACATGCGTTTTTGTGTATTTCTATATGCATGTGTGTGCGTTAGCGGTCAGAAGACAACCTTAGGCTGGCATTCCTCAGATAGTATCCATCTTATTCTTTAGACAGGGTCTCTTACTGGCCTGGTACTTGTCAAGGAGGCCTGTTTGTCTGGCTCCTTAACCTTGGAGATCTTCCTGGCTCTCCTTCTCCAGCACTGGGGTTACAAATGTGTGCCATACTATCCAGGCATTTTTTTTTTTTTGCATGACTTTGGAATATTAGACTCTTGCCCTCATGCTTGCAAGGCAAAAAATTTGAAGACTGAGCTATTCTTAGAGGCCACTGATTTTTTTTGAATGTGTGTCTTATTACATAAAAATAGTAATAATTATATAAAAGAACCAGAAAAGAAAAATTCCAAGAGTTCATCCTTATGGATGATCTTTCACCAATATGTCATTGAGGGAGCTATAGAACCCTAATACTTAACTGTAGAGAGCAGAACACAGCATGGCATATCCATTATACTGTAAATGAACTGTGTAGACCATCTATGATAGGAAAACATACTATAAAAAATGTGAACAATAATTATTAGTTCAAAACGCCATGTAACTGGTGGAAACTGAGAAAGAAATTGAATGAGATGTGAGCTAGAGAAGAGAGAGGCCTTTCACGCAGTGTTAATTTTTTGAAAAATGGCCATATGAAAAAGTAATCTGAATTTTCACTCTACTCCCAATAAAGATTTCAGGGACATTCTTCAGGGAACTAGAAATCAACCCAAAAATAGCATAATCGTTTGTAAACACAAGTGACCAAGGAGAGACAAAACAACACTAAACAAAAAGAACAATGTTGAAGACACCATAGTGCCCAACCTTAGACTATATTATAGAAAGGTAGTGAAAAAGACAGCATGGTCTTGGTACATAAATGGACATGTATGCCAATAAAATAGGATGAAGAACCTATAAATAAATACAAAGCAACGGCTAACGAAATTTGAAGATCGCGTCAAGATCACACATTGAATAGTGACAGCCCATCCAAAGAACGACAAAACAGTATCTTCATACAGAAGAATGAACTTACATCTGCATCCTCCAGCCTTGTACAAAAGTCAATTCAAAGTGTCCAAAGTTTAATTCAATGTATAATGCTTTTTAACTGTGTGTGTGTGTGTGTGTGTGTGTGCGTGTGTGTGTGTGTGTGTAGATATGTGTGTGTTAGTGCACATGCTCACAGAGGCTGAAGGTTTTGGATCTCTCTGGAGCTGGAATCACAGCCTGGACAGTTCTGAGCTTTCTGACATAGGTTCTGGGAACTCAGTTTGGGTCTTTGGCAAGAGTAAGACATGTTTTAAACAAATGAGCCATCTCTCCCACCCCATGACCTCAATTTAAATCTGAAACTTTCAGAACAAAAGGTAGGGGATACTTTTGAAGTAAAAAGTATATAAGCAATAACTTTCTTAAACAGAACTTTAATGACACAGGGAATAGTCCCAAGAATCAAGAAATGGACTATGTGAAATTTAAAAGCTTATATACAGTAAGGAAAATTATCAGCAGAGCAAACAGCCTTCAGGTTAGGAAGAAAGTTTTTGTCAGCTATATCTCACACAGGGAGGCTGATATACAGAATAAATAAAGCCTTATAAAATTTAAATACCCAAACCACACAACTGCCAGTAGATAAATAGGCTGGTGAAATGAGTAGCTAGTACTCAATAGAAGAACCATAACAATAAATGTTTCCAAAACTGTTTACCATTCTCAGCTATTGGGCAAGTGTAAATTAAAACCACTCTCACATCCTACTTCACCTTCATCAGAATGACTACCCTTTTAATTTGGCTTTCTATTGCTGAGATGAAATGCCATCACTAAAAACAACTTGTGGAGATCACTGTCATAAAGGAAAGAGGGGGCAAGAGCTCGAAGCAGGCACAGGAGACAAGAACTGAAGCAGGGGCCTATGGGAGTGCGCTGCTTGGTTTGCTCCTCGTGGCTTGCTCAACCTGCTTTCTTGTGACACCCAGGACAACCAGCCCAGACATGGCAGCACCCTCTTCTACTAGTTATCAGTCAAGAAAATGCACCAGAGGCCTGCCAACATCACCAGGCTAATCTGGTGGGGCCATTTTCTCAATTGAGGCTCCCTCTTTCAAAATGACTGTATCTTGTTTTAAGCTAGGACAAGTGGCATCAATGAAACAAATGACAACAAATGTCAGGGAAGGTGTGGGGGAAAATGTACTCTTATCCACTGCTGGTGAGAGTGTAAACTAGTACAACGATTATAGAAACGGGTATCAAGATTCCTTAAAGTGCCCATGTGACCCAGCTATTACAAAGGATTCCACATTCTACCACAGAGATGATAGCTGCACATCTGTATTTGTTGCTGTAGTATTCACAATACCAAGGGAATGGAACCAGCCCAGATGTCCATCATCATCATCATCATCATCATCATCATCATCATCATCATCATCATTATCAACAAAAAATGAATAAAGGAAATATGACACCTATACAGAATAGAAACTTACTCAGCTGTTAAGGAAAAGTTAACTATGAAAATGATGGGAACATGAACAATACTGGCAAGTATTATATACCAAGTGAGGCAACTCAAGTCTCAGAGAGACAAAAATCATGTGGCTCTTCACTTTAATGTTTGCAGAATCTTGATAACTTATTCTTTCTCCTAATATAAGTATTTCAAATTTTCTAATTTACATTTGTTATTTTGGTATTTGTTTTGTATATGAATATTTTATCCATTGTGTTTATTTCTTCATTAGTATTTTTTTTATTGTTTTCTACTATACCATCTAAATTTTATTATGTCTTTTACTAGCTACTTTTTTGAAAAAAAAAAAAAGTATTTTCTTACTGGTTACAATAAACACCTTAATCTAAACAATGAT